GCACTGAAATTGACGCCGTAACCTTGAAATCTCTACATACTTCTAATTGATCGTCTATCAATTAGTGTCTTGTCAAAAGTGATTATTTAAAAATAACATTATTTACATTTCACAGATTGAAATCATGAGTCAGTTGAAGCTAGACCACCATTGAAAACCTGGAAGCACTGGACGGCCGTTTCGTGAGAAGCCGTTACCAGTGGAGTTCAACCAGGTCGGTTGTGAGATAGGACTCACTGAATACAATGGTGTATGGTGGCGCAACTTCGTGGATTGATTGAAGTTAAACATTAACACAGTGGTCTAGTAGTTAAGTGCTCGCGCGCGAAGCCAGTAGGTCCTGGTTCGAGCCACGTGTGGTGCGGGATCGTGGATCCGCACTGCTTAGGAGTCTCATACTAGGACAAAACGGCCGTCCACTGCTTCCAGGTTTTCAATGGTGATCTAGCTTCAACTGACTCATGATTTCAATCTGTGAAAATTTCTAAAAAAAATCTCCACAAAACTCATTCTGATTATTTACATTTATAATTGAAGAAAATATTTGTTTTAAACTTATTTCTGATGGTGAAGGTATAACAAATAATGCAAAATGTCTTATCAATCTTGAAGTGATTGAATTTCTTCCACCACCTGGTGGTCCACATGCTGAACATAATATCATATTTTGAATATTAATCCATTCTAATTTATCTCTATCATAGAAACCATGAAAATCTTGATATTGTCTTAATAATTCAATAGGTGGTTGACTACCATATTGATCTTGTTTTGGCATATTTAAATCATCAATAAATAATATAATTTGTTTATTTTGTGGTGCACCAATTAAATATTTTTTTTTTCTTTTCTAATTTACTTTCAATAATTTCTTGAATACGATTACTTGTTGTTTGAGCAGAGAAATTAATATATGCCGGTATATAATTATTTCGTTCAGCGATATTATTCAATGTTCCACGAATTATAATTGACTATAATTAATAAAAAAAAAATAATAAGAAAACAAAGAAATTGTTCAATATTGATTATTTATCATTTCTATGATATAAGAATGAATAGAACACTTGACGGCCTGCTTAAATATCTGGGCTACCTGTTTCCTCCGATCTAGATATTTCATCAAGTTATCTGTTTTGTTGTTTGTTTTAGCACATCACTATGTCTATTGTGCGCATAACCTATTCAGGCGCGTTTATGAAAAGTTTACAACCTTTCACTATACATGATACAAAAAGGTACAATCAGCGACATCATATTGGCTGGCAATATGCATTGAAACGAATGAACATTAATCAAATGTGGATTATCGAACTCCTAACATCTAATTGGTCATCATTCAAAATTTATCGTCACAATAGATCAAGGTATAAGAAATGGAAACGTGTTGAAATACTTTATGCTGAGAATTCTATGTTGTACCAAAATATAATGTTGAATATAGCCATTAACAGTTATAATAATAATAATAATAATAATAATAATAATAATTACTTAACAACATACATTCATATCAACATCAGGAATCGAACTTACAGACTTATCAGGTTATATAGAATACTCATTGTTTTTTTTCAATGAATATGTTATATACATTTCCAAATAATCTATTTGTCTAGTACTTTATGAGTCAGTCAGTTGCAATGTAGGACTAGGTACACATATGTGCATCGGTTCAAGTTACCATACTTCATTAACACAACATGATGGACACCGGATTCATAGAAGTAGTTAATTCAATGGTGGTAGTATATAAAAGAAGGTTTGCATATAAGGACATAGTACAGGGAGAAAGAATTAATTTGTTTGAAGTCATCGTGATCGATTCTGAGCCATGTCACCCAGAGTCTCCAATCATTGGTTACGATAGTCACGGTGGCCCCCAACCAAGTAGTCTGCATCAACCAACATGGATCAGACTAGCACTTAGTGACTTCAGGCACTGATGCCACGTTTTGGTATGGCCAACCCTAACTTTCTTCCAACTATCACCAACACTAGTCAGGATTGCACGACGTGGTAATCGGTGTTCAGGCATACGTAACACGTGGCCCAACCATCTCAGTCAATGAAGATTCACTAGCTCATTAACTGATTTACCATCATTCCTTAATACCCCACGTCCAATCTCACTATTACTTATCCGGTGATCGCAGCAGATGCGAGCAATATTTCTAAGGCATCTGTGGTCAAATACTAGTAGCTTATGAGTATCTTATACTCTTAATGACCACGCTTCACAACTGTAATTAAAACAGAACGAACTGCTGCGCAATATACTCGTTCCTTAATTGAGAGATGGATATCTCGCCTTCGTCATAGGTGACGTAAACTGGCAAAAGCCAAACGAGCTTTGTGAATCCGTACTCACATTTCGTCACATACCAACCAATTTGCGCTGACCAGACTTCCAAGATATGTGAAGTTATCTACACGTTCGACTACTTCACTCCCTATCCTTAGTTCAGGTGTTGATGCAGGCCAGTCCTGAAGCAACAACTTGTATATAGAGGGGGAGAAGTGGATCTCAAACATTCTGGCATTGTAACTCAGTGCTATCAAAAGAATCTGCATTTCATCAATTGCCAGTAATTTAGAAAAAGGTGATAACAAGTGATACCATTATTATTATTACTACAGTGATTGAAAACTCAGTTAGGGAAAACAATCTGTTGTTGTATACAAAATCAAACAGTAGCTTTGTAAAATATAAAAGTTATTCACTAAATACATTATTTTTCAGTTGTCCTTTACATAATTCATCATTCTTTCGACCCTCTAGTGATCCCGACTGCTCTTCTTTTTTTTCCCATTCTCTTTATTTCACTCGTCTACTGGTAAGCATACTAATTTCGGTTTATACCATATACTACTTATGTTTGTCCATATAAGTAGTGTAAACACGTTATTACCAATAATAATAATAAAAATAATAATAATACAATATTAATAATGATGATAACAATGATAGTAATAATCATACTTTTCCAACTCCAGTTAAACCAGTAAATAGTACACTTTGATTTACAGCTAATAATTTATCTAACATGTATCCATATCTGACTGTATCTATAGTTGGGACAATCATATCAAAAAATGGTATTTGTTTATTATATATAAATGTATTAAGCAATTTATCCCAATTATCCATACGACGTGTATCCATATCAACAAAACAAGACCATAAATCAGAATGTTGAGGAAGCTAAAGAAAAAAAAGTAATGAAGAATGGATTCATATAGAATGATATTTTCAAATTAAGACTGCTTAACATAGATTGTTTGATTGTTAATACTTATTAATAAGGTGTATTTGGAAACTTGAAGGGAGAGAGACGTTTCTTATGGAATTCAAAATAAGGTTATACAACTCTACAAAAGTTATCATTGAACTATTCTGATAGTAACTGATCTGTTGTAAGACTGAAATATTTACAATTGATTGATCATTGAGTCGACACTACGGATCATCGTCGAACTATCAGTTGAGTGGAACTCGTCACTGTACATCAACTTCATTGATTATGAGAAGGCATTTGACAGTGTAGATAGGAGAACGTTATGAAAACTTCTTCGACACTACGGAGTTCCTCAGAAGATTGTTAATATTATCCGGAACTCATACGACGGACTATAGTGCAAAGTCGTGCATGGAGGACAGCTGATAGATGCATTCCAAGTAAGGACCGGAATCAGACAAGGCTGTCTACTCTCTCCCTTCCTCTTTCTTCTGCTGGTCGACTCGATTATGAAGACCTCGATATCTGATGGAAAACATAGCATACAATGGACAGCTCAGAATCCATTAGAAGATTTGGACTTCACAGATAATCTAGACCTCCTATCGCATACACACAAACAAATGCAGATGAAAACAACTAGTGTAGCAGCAGCCTCTGCATCAGTAAGCCTCAGCATACACAAGGGGAAAACCAAGGTCCTCAAATTCAAAACGGAGAACGGCAGTCGAATCAATCTTAATGGCGAGACTCTGGAAGATGTAGAATCCTTCACATAACTGGGAAGCATCATCGATGAACAAGGAGGTTCAGATGCAGACGTAAAGGCTAGGATAGGCAAAGCAAGGGTCGCATTCCTTCAGTTGAAGAACATATGGAACTTAAGACAACTGTCTGCAAACCAATATCAAGGTGAGAATCTTCAACATGAACGTCAAGACCGTCAGTTCTACTGTATGGAGCTGAAAATTGGAGAACTACAACAACTATCATCAAGAAGGTACAAGTATTTATAAATGGTTGTCTACGCCAGATACTCAACATCCATTGGCCGGATACCATCAGCAACAGCCTTCTCTGGGAGAGAACAAACCAGCTTCCAGCTGAAGAAGAAATTAGAAAAAGACGATGGAAATGGATAGGACATACATTGCGCAAATCGTCAAACCGCATCACGATGCAAGCCTTAACTTGGAATCGTGAAGGGAAGCGGAAAATAGGAAGGCCAAAGAACACATTACGTCGGATAATAGAAGCAGATATGAAAAGGATGAATAACAACTGGAAGGAGCTAGAAAGGATTGCCTAGGACAGAGTTGGATGGAGAATGCTGGTGAGCGGCCTATGCTCCTTCACGAGGAGTAACAGATCATTGAGTAGCGACCAATTTATTGTGTATTTATGAACTATGTAATTTTCAGGTTGAATGTAAAACCCTATCTATGGAGTACTATACTACTTTATAGGTTAAGACCAATCAACTTTTAACCGCTAGTTGGGAGTTTCAAATCAAAATCTAACTGATTCAATTTTACTCATCAAACCTTAGCCAAATTTGTATATTTCAAAAATGAGTGATCTTTTTAAAATCGTCTTCATTTATGTATGTGTATTTAAACTTTGTTTTGTCATTTCTGTTCTCAGGTTTGAAATCTATTGTCAATTAGTGTCATCATTTGAATTCACTCGAAGAAATGGTGAAAGGGACTAAGAAGGATTTTATAGAAGTTTCTTACTAGTATGAAACTTGATGGGAATGCGCACTTGAAACCGAAGTAATTAGAAGCCAATTTCGAAAATGAAAATTTTAAATCATTAAATCATCAGTTTACAGAGGTTCATTTTTTAGGCTTTGATAATATAGTATGTAGTTCTATTCTCATTCAAAGTCATCATTTGGATGCACCTTCATCTTAGAGTTGATGTCCACTTTGGGACTCGAACCCAATACCGTTCGCTTCAAACACCATCGTATTATCTACTTAGCTACTGAGTGTTGATAGCCACTCGCTTGTACAATGGGCTGAAGTTTTAAATTCATGTGATATTGTTTACTGATTTGCATATAAAGCTTGTAAATTAAGGTAGATCGAGGCAGTCTGTGCAGAATACACATATATCAATAAGAGACTGAGTAATCGCAGTCCTAAATAACAATGGGAAGATATAAGTAAACAATATCAAGAGAATTTTCAATTCTTTGGGTAAAGTTGAACACTTAATACCTTCTCATCATTGAAAAATGAAGTTATGTAATCTAAATATTTTCATCAACTACCATTTGCCTACATAAATTAATAAATAGCGATTTCAAATAAGTCCACACTAAAGTAAGTTTTGTTGCAAAGTGTGTTTCGGCTACGAATTGATATCAATATGAGAATCATTGTACATCAGGGAATATATTATGCACTATTTTGGGGATCCTTTAGCAGTGTCAATCTATGTTTTCCTTAAGATAGGACCTAGGGTCCTAAGGTCTAGCAATCTGTTTATCATTTAAGGATCATAAGTAGGGAATTATTCACATTTCTAACTTCAATCAACTACCGATTTCAGTCAGTCTATACTCAGCCTCAACCTCCTACTTCTTCGAATGAAGGTATTGAAATAAATATAAAGACTTCATAAACCTGTAGTGTTGCTTACTATATATACCCCATTCTAGTTTCTGAACAGATCGATTTATCCATTCTTCTTGAGTCACATCTTGACTTTATCAACTTTGACTGTTTTCATTGTAAACTTATGTGTGTACACTTCTTATCCTATTCATCATATGTCTGTAACTTCTTTTTCTTTATGACTATAAATGAAATTGGTTCACGAACCTTCTCTACTGCGCGTCATTTCGCTTTGCTCTTTTCTATTCACTTCATCCTTATGATTTCCTGTCCAAATCATTGAGTGTACAAAATATACACATTTAAGAATTCATTCTCGTATTTCACTTTATTTAACTCCGTTATTCAACTGACTCATGATTTCAATCTGTGAAATTTCTAAAATCTCCACAAAACCCATTCTGATAATAATAATCAACTGCTCACTAGTGACTGACTTCAGGAAAAACTCCCGAAGTTCTAGTGAGAAGCCGTTACCAGTGGAGTTCAACCAGGTCTGTTGTGAGATAGGAACTCACTGAAGACAATGGTGTACGGTGGCGCAACTTCGTGGATTGGTTGAAGTTAGACATTAACACCGTTGGATGCCGGCTCAGTGGTCTAATGGTTAAGTGCTCGCGCGCGAAGCCAGTAGGTCCTGGGTTCGAGCCCCGCGTGGTGCGGGATCGTGTATGCGCACTGCTGAGGAGTCCCATACTAGGACGAAACGGCCGTCCACTGCTTCCAGGTTTTCAATGGTGGTCTAGCTTCAACTGACTCATGATTTCAATCTGTGAAATGTGAGTTAAGTCGATGATAATATACAAAGATTAACGATATGTAATATCTGAATTAGCAATCAGATACAATCAAAACTGGGATCAGATCCTATGCCTACTTAAAATCAACTCATTCATATATAAATCAATCAATTAAAAGGAAACTTACTCTTGCATCACCTAAATCATCAAATAGATTACGAATAAATGCATCACATTTATCCCAATTTGTATCAATTAAACAACCAGCTAATCCCCATAATAATGAAAATACAAATGACATAGCTAATAATGGATTTAATTTATTTTTATCTTCATTCATTGATAGACAATTTGAATGAGTTAATAGAACTTCTAATAATTTACACATTGTTTGTATCCGTGCAATAGGTACCTATGAATTGAAATATTAAATGTAAACGAATGAGTGAATGTAATATAAATGAACATGGATAAAATGATCTTTCATCAAATGTTTACTACTTAGAGAGAATATAGGAGAAACTTACTTACACCTGTTACTCCTTGTGGAGGAGCATGGGCTACCCACTAGCACTCTCCATCCAACTCTGTCCTGAGCAATCCTTTTCATATCTGTTTCTATTTCCCGACATAATGTGTTATTTGGCCTTTCTCTTTTCCGCTTCCCTTCATGATTTCAAGTTGGGAATTGCTTCTTGATGAAGTTTGATGATTTCCACAATGTATGTCCTATCCATTTCCATCGTCTTTTCCTAATTTCCTCCTCAGATGGAAGCTAGTTTGTCCTTTCCTACAGTTGGCTGTTGCTGATGGTATCCGTTCAAAAGATATTCAGTATCTTGCATAGACAACTATATATAAATGCTTGTACCTTCTTGATGTTGGTTGTGGTAGTCCTCCAATTTTCAGCTCCGTACAGTAGAACTGACTGTCTTGACGTTCGTATTGAAGATTGTGACTTTGATATTGGTTTGTAGACAGTTGTCTTGAGTTCCATATGTTCTTCAATTGTAGGAATGAGTATAGGGGAAAGGAGTTGAAATAATTGTGGTATCAATGAAAGATGTTCAGTTTGTTTGTTTTCTTTTCATTCCATTACTTTCAAGTCTGTTATACTACTTATTAATATCAAGGTTCGACCCCATATTTTGCTTATTTTCTGTTTATCACTTATATTTAAGTTTAGCATACATAGTAAAAATCACCAAACTGCATCACGAGGTAAGCCCTTACTTCAAAACGTGAAGGGGAACGGAAAAGTGGAAGACCAAAGAACACACTGCTTTGAGAATTGGAAGCAGACATGAAAAGGAACAATAGCAACTGGAAAGAACTTGGAAGGATTGTTTAGGACAGAGTTGGATGGCGAATACTGGTGGTTCGTTTATGCTCCTCCATGCGGGGTAATAAACGTAAGTCTGTAAGTAGGCTTTTTTAAAATTCTACCTAAATGCTGACGAGCTATGTAACGGTCGAGCATCTGTAACACAAGCCTCAGCCAACTTAAACGATATAACTTTATAATTATTATTATGATTCACTTTTAAGTTTTATCTTAATGATGTGTATATTCGCTTTGGTTAAAATAGAATTATTTGTCTATTTTCTTTTAATCTGTACATGTTCTGACAAGTTCGATTTTCATCCACCATCTAGTGTACCAGAACAGTACAAATATGCTGTACCTTCGGGGGTTAAAAGAAGAAATGTATGTTTGATATAAGAGTAGAATCCAATTAAGTAACGCATCTTAATGACCATAAAATCCACTTTCATGATCTGCCACCAATTTTTCTAGCTTATCTAATATCATCAAATGAAACAAATACTTGGTACAAAAAGTTTGTGAACGTGCATTGAGTAGTCTCATGTTAAGAAATAACAGCCGTTCAGTAATTACTAAATGCTGGTGAGCGGCCTATGCTCATTCACGAGGAGTAACAGGCGTAAGTAAGTAAGTAATTGCTAATTTCTATCGGATGTCTGACTAAGGACATTCCATGATGTGAACCATGAAATTCAACACTATTCACAAACCTCCTATTACTAAAAACAGTCACGTATTTACGAATGAATAACTTGGATTTGTTATTCCTGAAATTCTGATGTAAAGCAGTGACTAGTGGAGTCCGATCATATCAATTAGTTACCCACTAATGGCATTGGAAGATGGTTTCTTAGTATCACATATTGATGGAAGTTAGAAATTTAAACTATTGGTTGCTGAGATAGTGGTTAAAGGGTTAAACACTCGCTGAGAGTTCTGAAGTTCCTGAGTTTGTTCTTCTATGGAGTTGTAGGTATGCAACAACAGAGAAGTTCCGTAGTAAAATGTAACTCTGTCCAGATCTTCCTTGTTTTCATTGGTTGTCTAGTTAAGTTTCGTCAGTTACGTTAAATACATAATATACAAAACTTCCTATATCCAAGCTTCCAACTGGCTACTTTAAGAGTGAAGGCGGAAGTTAGTCGGTTTTATCCGAATCAAATTGTTGGGGAGATCCAGAAAATTCCTCGAAAAAGCGAAAAAAGGCCCTGAAAACACTGAGAAACACTGTAAATCAATATTCAATAAAAGTTTTGCTAGAAACATGTAGAAAGTGAAAAGTCACATGTTGAGTTTCTGATTGGATGATTGCCTATACTGCTACTATGTTTAATAGCATTCCAGAACTTTCCGGAAACTCAAGGCTATCTAAAATACTATAAGAACCCTAGATTATCTATACATAAACGAACCTTAAAGTAAAGCGTTTCTTCGATATTTCATGCCTTTTCTCTTGTGTTCATGTCGTTGTGTAGATTTAGCCTATGGATTATTATTAGAAGAGCTTAGGAAACCGAATCAAGCGTTCAATTAGCAAAACTTATCACAAATGGATAAGAGCTCCTTAGAGAATGACCAATAATATGCACTTATCAATAAGGAGATATTCGATTGGCATAATACAACTATCTCATTTGATAACTGTCGTTGAGTACACTGATTCATTACACATAAGTTGAAACTCTCCAAACTACGATTATATAATGAAAACTATTAATGTGAAGATGAACACTTACTTGTGGAATGATTGTTGTACATTTAGTCATTACAAAATTCATAAAAGGATCTACATATTTTATAAAAAGATTCATAATATATTCCATTACATATGGGGTTAATTTTTCTTCAATTGTTTTAATCCATGTCTAAAATGAAAATGGAAATAATTGAATATTGTATAATGATCAAAGAACATCGTATTACCGAGAAATGGAGACAGATATGAGAAGAATGAACAATAATTGGATAGAACTAGAAAGAAAGGACAAAGTGGACTGGAGAATGCTGGTCGGTGGCTTATGCTCCATTAGGAGTAACACGTGTAAGTAAGTAAGTAAGTAATTAAATAATAATGACATAATTAGACAAAGCATCAATCGGAAGTACATAAACCTTGTAAAGGCTCTTTAATTGAACACTACTAGTCGAGTCAGAGCTTATGGCAAACTGTCATCTGATTTTGCAACCTCAAGTGGTGTTCAACTTCATCATGGACCTACTGATGGAAATAACGTTCTCGTCAGCTGAATTTTCGGGCATTGATCTCCTACCAAGAGGTTCACTTATCGACTTAGAATACGCAGATGATATAGTCCTGTTTGGTGAAGACGCTGATAAAATGCAGAGTCTTTTGGTAGCACTAAGCCAAAATCCCAGAATGTTTGGGATCCACTTCTCCCTCTCTAAATACAAGTTGTTGCATCAGGACTAGATTGCATCAACACCTGAACTAAGGATAGGGAGTGAAGTAGTCGAACACGTTGACAACTTCACTTATCTTGGAAGTCTGATCAGCCCTAATGAGTTAGTGTCTGAAGAAATGTGAGCACGGATTCACAAAGCTCGTTTGGCTTTTGCCAACTTACGTTACCTGTGACGGAGGCGAGATATCCGTTTATTAATTAATGGACAAATATACTGCTCGGTAGTTCATTCTGTTTTACTTTACGACTACGAAACGTGGCCATTAAGGATTGAGTTCCGTGTGGCTATCCTAACCAATGGTTAGAGACTGTAAGTAACATGGTTCAGAATTGATCACAATGACGTAGTTGTATATACTCTATGTCTTCCCTTAAACCATGAGATTAAAATCGCTTCAGATCTTTCTTTCTACGAACTAATTCTTTCTTCCTGTACTATTTCCTTATTGCAATCTTTCCTTTATATATTACTACCATTGGATCAACTACTTCTATGAATCCACTGTTCATCTTGCTGTGCTAATGTGATATGGCAACTTGGACGGATGTATATATGTACCTGGTTCTACGTTGCAGCTGACTGACTGACCAATCAAGGTTCTTCTATAAATAAACTTAATCAAAATGATCATTTCAATTAGGTAAACTTTAGTTTAATGAAATAGTGATTACTACAGAATGAAAGCTAACTGTTTAACAAGAGCTCACGTTTATGTGTCATTGGTCCGATCGATAACTCGTCACGATATACATTAACAGGGCAAACAGGCCACAAGTTATAACAGATTGTGCTTGTTTATTTGAAATATAATGTATGATGTGATCCCCATAGGAACAAATCGTAGATTATTAATGAATTCATTAATTAGTAAATAGATTTATTCAAAATAAAATATTAAAAAAAACATATTTTAAATTAATACAATTAACTTACTTTAACATATGGTAACCAACCTAAATCTTCTGAATCTACATAAACCATACCACAACGACTTACTGTTGCCGGTGATGCAACAGCTAAATCTTGTACTTCAAATAACATATGAACATAATTTGTTAATTTAATACGTTCAGAATTAGCTAAACATAACATTTTATTATCATCTAATACTGTGTTCATATTTTCAATCCATAATGCATCAACTGGACCATCACATATAACCCATTGATGATCTTGTGTAGGATCCTTCATAGTGGAATACATGAAAAGAAAAGAAATTTCAGAAGGGTTTTTATGGATATTATAGTAATTTCAATGATTGAGATCATAAGTCAATTAAAGCTAGACCTGAATGCACTGGACAACCGTTTCGTCCTATAGTGAGACTCCTTAGCAGTGTTCATCCACGATCCCGCTTCACGAGAAATTTGTATGCTTCTAAGCTAGTGTATACATGTTTTCTTTTCATATATTCATTTATTGACTAATTATCCTTTAGTAGAATACTTTTTATGTTTTAAAAACAGTTTGTGTAACAAATTATGAAAAATACAAATAAGAAAAACAATGACAATCAATATAAGCAGAGATGGATGGTAGCTAGTAGCTGACCAGCCCCCAAATGCCCTGTTACCGCCGAGGGTGGGAAGAGTTAGCTCTCCCTCTCGAAATGCTCTCACACGGCCACTGGCAAACAACCACTACTAGGGAGTTCCTACTCACTACCTTCTCACAGTGTGGGTACTGTTTACGAAATAGAGAGGACGAAAAGCGAATGCCGGGCTCTTTAACCCGGTTGGTGGATCCACCTAGGGGAGTTGGAAAACCCTCAATCCAAACCAATGGTGTACATGGGTTTCAGTATCCTGAAGGAAGGAATGGCGTATGAACCAATTATTAGTCACCGGCAACCATGGGACTACATCTCCTAACGCTGCTCCACTGTCTTACGGATATCAAACCTTTAGGTGGAAGGTTCCGGGTGTGGTTCACTAAGAAAGGCACCTCAGCAGTATCCCGTCGAATGATTTATTTGACGCATATCTATTTGATGCCTCCTTGTACTAATGTTTATGAGGTTAAATAAAATAAATAATAGCTGACGAGTCACGAATGGATTTCACTGTTATCCATCATCCATCTCTGCTTATAATGCTTATGATTTAAGGCAATATCGAGACAATCCACACAGAATACACATACACCAATAAGAGATTGATCAATTACACTCCTAAATATCAATGGAAAGATTCATCACAAATATTGTTTGATAAATTGTGCAACACTATTACAATGATCACATTATACTTACTACACATGTTTGTCTAACAATAGAAGCTAATAATCCATCATGCCATTCAAATGTTAATTTATTTACTTCACCATATAATTCACCCATTGTTATAGATTTTGGATTTAAAACATACATTTTCACTGGTTGATATTCTGGTTTCTTATTCATGAATTCAGCTATATGTAAATTATTTAAAACTTTAGCTAAAACACGATAAATTGTAGTTTTTCCACCACCAGTTGGTCCAACTAACATTACTCCATGACGTACAATTAATGTTTCATAGAATTGTATTATTTTTAATACTTGTTCAGTAATAATTTGTAAATTCATATCTTGTAATACTGTTTCAATCTCTTCTAGAAATAATCCATAATCATGTTCTGGTAATGTAACATCAGGGAAAAGATCTTGTAAAATTGCCTATAGAAAATAAATACTAAAACTATTAACTGTAGTTTAAGATTATTTGATTAGAATAAATAATGAGACTATAATTTATAAATGAATCAATCTTACTTACTTACTTAATTACGCCTGTTATTCATGATGGAGCATAGACTGACGATCAGCATTCTCCAATCCACTCTATCTTAGGCCTTCTTTTCTAGTTCTATCCAATTCTTGTTCATTTTTCTCATGTCTATCTCCATTTCCCGGAGTAATGTGTTCTTTAATCTTCCACTTTTTCTTTGGCCTTGAGGGTTCCATGTGAGGGCTTGTCTTGTGCTTTCCTCAATGTGAGTTTTATCCACTTCCAGTGCTTCTTCCTGATTTCTTTCTCCGTTGGGATCTGGTTTGTTTTCTCTCACAGTGGGTTGTTGCTAATAGTGTCCGGCCCAACGGATCCGAGGTATTTTGTGTAGACAACTGTTAATAAACACTTGTATCTTCTGGATGATGGTTTTCGTAGTTGTCCAAGTTTCCACCTCATACAGTAGAACTGTATTGACATTTGTATTGAAAATCCTGACTTTGATGTTGGTTGAGAGACAGTTGTTTTGATTTCTACATGTACTTCGGTTGTAAATATACTGCTCTTGCTTTACTGGTCCACGCTTTCACATCCACATCAGATCCACCATGTTCGTCAATGGTGCTGCCCAAATATGTAAAGGTTTTTACATCTTCCAAATCTTCTCCGTCAATTGTGATTCGATTGTTGCATGCTGTGTTGTGTGTGAGAATCTTGCTTTTCCCTTTGTGTATATTGAGACCTACTGCTTCTGAGGTTGCTACTACACTTGTCTTCTTCTCGTGCATTTGTTGTTGAGTGTGTGATAGAAGACCCAAATCATCTGCGAAGTCTGGATCGTACAACTGCATTCTAGCTGTCCACTGCATCCCGTACTTCGCCCAGATGTTGAAGTCTTCATGATCCAGTCAATCACCAGGAGAAAGGGAAAGGGTGGGGGTAAGTAACATTGCCTGACACCGGTCAAATGAATCAATCAAGTATTAGATAATAGATCTTGGTTTTTTGGCACGAAATTCATCCATTCAATTTGGTAAAATACAGTTTTGGCATTTTAGTTGATATTAATTAGTGATGAAAACTCTAAATCTAATTCCTAACCATCAATCATAAATCATAATTCTAATTCCTCACACACTGATTTATAACCCTTATTTGATCCTAGTTAATAAGTGAACATTCTCAGGGTTACTTTAGCATCGTTTAAAGATCATCCGTAAATTATAATCTCACCGAATAAATTAATTTATAATAATTGAATATATGAGTTAATTTCAGCTAGATCACCATTGAAAACCTGGAAGCATTGGGTGGTCGTTTCATCCTAGTATGGTACTCTTCAGTAATGTGCATCCACGATCGTTCATACTGAACTTGAATCCAGGATCATCTGTCTCTTACGTAGTATTTCTGTTATCATAAATAATTCTTCTAACATCTGTTATCATCTTATCATTTTGTTTTACACTGATTGATAGATTAAATATTTCATAATGAATGTATTGTTTGAGAGTTCTTTTGTTGATCAGTGTTACTTACCATAGTGATTTAATCGAGGTGTATTGTCTGAAAAATTTGTTTCAGATAGGTTGTTTGAGAAACTGTAAAACCAATATCAACATATCTATTGAACTGACAGTCATTAAGTTGTCTCCTTTAAGTAATTGGTATCACTAGGTGTTCTACCTTATCATAGAAGAAAGGATTGGCTCTTAAATGAGCACACCTCATTTTGCTCCATTCTTAAGGTAGGAGATAAAGTTTAAATAGTAAAGAATTTGTACATCAAGAATCAGTCAGTCAGCCAGTAACAACGTAGAACTTCGTACGTACGTACATCAGTTCGAGTTGCCACACCACATTAGCACAGAGATCCAGTTGTTGATTCAAACCCCATAGTGGTAGAGGTAGTAAGAGTATAAGCAGGGTCTCTAACCATCGGTTGCTATCACCTCGCAGTCCCCAACCAGATAGTCTACACCTACCAACATGACTCAGTCCACTTATCAGTGACTTCATGGACTTGTGCCATGTTTTGGTCTGGCCGCCCCTAGATTTCTTCCAACCTATTCCTATACCACTGAACATCGCACATCGGGACAGTCGGTGGTTGGGCATACGTAACACGTGTCCCAGCCATCTCAACTGTAACTCAGACCAAGTTTGTACCCATGTTAGAAACCAATTTCCAGCCATCTCAACTGATGAAGTTTCACTACTTCATCAATAGATTTTCCATCCTTACCTAGTACCCGTTTCTTAACAACTGCATTACTTACTCGATGGTCCCAGGATATACGAGCAATGTTTCGAAGACACCTATGATCGAATACTAGTAACCTACGAATATCTTCTACTCTTACCGGCCATGTTTCACTGCCATAAAGTAGGACGGAACGAACTGCTGCGCAGTAAACCCGTCCTTTGGTTGATAGACGGATATCTCGTCTACGCCATAAATGACGCAAGTTGGTAAAAGCTAATCGAGCCTTCTGTATCCGTGCTGAGATTTCGGATAAAGGTGTCTTTAATCGACTGTACTGTCACACTTCCTAACCAACAAGAATTTCAATAATAATCCAGTCTTACATTAAAGTTCATTAAAAAACTTTACAAAATGGATACATCTCTAACTATGTTCAAGATCATTTTGTTCAGAATCAAGGATTTGAGCTAAACTTGGAACAATGTAAACGAATTCTTCATGTTAAAACATCATCATTCTGTGAAAATTTACTAGTGGATCAAAATAGTTCAACTTACTGTAAATAAGATAGAATCTTGTTTAAGAAATTTCGGTAAATTACTATCTCTTAAAGCACGAATTAATACAACATCTTCTGGTTTATCAGGATTTTCACGTTTTAATGAACCAGCCATAACTAATACTGATTTTAATGCTCTCATACCAAAATCATAATGATCTTGTTGTGATAATTGTTCACTGCATAATTTATACATTTGTGTCATTTTTAATGCTAATGTTTTTGATGATTCAAATCCTTCAGAATAAAGTATAACTTCAGCAATAAGACCTATTTATAAATAAAAAGAAAGATAACAAAGACGATAGAGAAACAGAGTAAAAGATAGAGAGCAATGCACATTTAAAAAGTTCTCAGGAAATCCTTCAGAAGTTGAGATTATGAGTCAATTGAAGCTAGACCGCCATGGAAAGCCTGGAAGCACTGGACGGCTGTTTCGTCCTCGCTTTGCGGGATTCAAACTCAGGACCTACTGATTTCGCGCGCGAGCACTAGACTACTGAGCTGGCCGGCATCCAATGGTGGTAATGTCTAACTTCAACTAATCTACAAAATTGACCAATACATCCACCATTGTCATCAGTGAGTTACTATCCCACAACAGACCCTGTTGAACTTCACTGGTCACTGCTTCTCAAATGTTGAATTCTGTTAATCAAACAATAAGATATCGAAAAAATAATTATTAACGTGGGTCAGAAGATCTAGTGGGTACTCTGAAAAAATATAACGATAATCATATTTGCTGTCTTTTGAATCTTTTGATTTCAGTTACACTGTTCTGATGATTACTGACCAGTTGACAGTACTGTGTGATGATGATGTCTGATATAATATTCGATTAGCGGATCACTGAAAATACACTTAAGTTGATTCTGTTAACGATTGTTTAAAGGAATCCCACTTATCTCCATCTAGTTATTAAAAAAAAACTCTATTTCGTATCATTTACTTAGTTAACTGATACGTCTTGTTTCAACTTCAATTATTAATTAAAAGACACTGATTGTCATGCTTCTAACATACAATAGAATATTCGTTTATACAAAATAGTTAATGATAATCTCTATAGTAACAAAAATGACTTACGATAATCGGGTACCATCATAGAAATTGGACGGAATAATGATTTTAAATTATCAGGTAATTCTGTACGTCCAGCATAACCAGGATTCATTGTAATAAAAGCTGCACATGTTGGTACTAATTTAATTTCACGTCCTTCAAACATGAATCTTGCAACCTATATATTTTAAAAGAAAACTAACTAATGAAATTGATGGTTCAGATAAGTTGTTAGACATAAGTTTAATTCATGATTTTATTTAGCTCTACCACTTGTTGTTGAAAGATCGCCTGTTTTAACATATGATCCGGAGGTTAAGCGTTCGCGCACGAGACCGAAGGCTCTGGGTTTGAATCCCGCGAGTGAGATAGTAGATGCGCACTGTTGAGGAGATCCACAATAGGAGGAAACGGCCGTCCAATGCTTCTAGGTTTTCAGTGGTGATGTAACACCGATTGGTTCATGATATCAATCAAAAACTTAAAAATCTCTACAACCCTATACTGATAATATTATTTGATCTCAGAAGGGAAGAAATTCAGAAACAATAATGCATTTCTTAACTGAAATTTAATCAAACTCTGTGAACTAATTATTAATTAATAGTAGTATATATGTGCGTGAAACTGAACACAAGATTACTAGTATAGGGGTTGTGGAGATTATTAAGTTTTTTTGATTGAGATCATGAATCGATTGATGTTAGACCACCACTGGAAACCTGGAAGCACTGGATGGCCGTTTCCTCCTATTGTGGGACTCCTCAGCAGTGCGCATCCACAATCCCGCTCGCGGGATTCGGACATAGGGTCTTCGGTCTCGTGTGCGAACGCTTAACCAACTGGACCACTGAGCCGGCATCCAATGGTGATAGTGTCTAACACCAATCGGTTCATGATCTCAATCAATTGAACATCAAATTGTTTCGATAAATAATAGATCACCATCAAAGTTAGAGAATATATGTGTAAATAAACTCCTGAGTGATTTATGGAGAAGTTATTAATGTATCGTAAAGTAGAGATGGTGATTCGGTTGATAAACCTGGCAACCTTCTTCATGATTAAAGTATTTATTATACATTTCCAATCTATCCACATTCAGTAAGGAAAACAGTAAGATGAAAACATATTATCAATCTTTGAAGTTATTTACTACCGGCTTTGAATGGTATAGGCAGCTGCCAACCATTTGAATGGCGACAGAAAAATATTTCTTTTAAATGATTGATGAAATAATCCTGGATCTGAGATGCAAATGAATTCAATCAAAGTTCAAGTTATGTGACTGGATAATTTATACTTGAAATTTGATTATTTTGAAATATCTTGCTATACCATAAAGGGTAAATAAATCTACGCTTTTGTATGTAAAGTAAAAATATATAAAATTTGTTTTTAACATGGATACAAACTTGGTCTGAGTTACAGTTGAGATGGCTGGGACACGTATTACGTATGCTCAACCACTGACTTCCCCGACGTGCGATGTTCAGTGGTATTGGAGTGGATTGGAAAAAGCTAGGGGTGGCCAGACCAAAACATGGCACAAGTCTATGAAGTCACTGACAAGTGGACTGAGTCATGTTGGTAGGTGTAGACTATCTGGTTGGGGACCGCGAGATGATAGCAACCGATGGTTAGAGACTTTGAATGACATGATTCAAAATCGTTTGCAATGGCGCAGGTGTATACTCTCTCTGTGTTCTCCCAAATTCTAATCTTCTGAATTCTTTATGTCCCTTTATTTTTTCTCTTTCCAAATTTATTTCACTGCATTATACTCTTTAAATAACATCTTCCCGATTACTGCTTATACTCTTACTACCTCTACCACTATGGGATTTGAATTAACAACTGCATCTCTGTGCTGATGTGGTATGGCAACTCGAACTGATGTACGTACTTACGAAGTTCTACGTTGTTACTGACTGACTGATTGAGTTACAGACATGATACTACTTTTAATTGTCACCATCTAGTCGATTGATGTATTGTGTACTCGGTAAGGGGGATATATTCGATTACTGATAAGCTCATTCACACAGTACTACTCAAGTTTATGTAGCACGGTAATAACAGTAACAATTTGACAAAGGAATAAAGAGAAACTATTACTCACTCGTGCAGCTTTAGCATTTCGAATAGTGATCAACTGTTGAGCAATAACAGACAATACTTCAATATCAATACGATTAAATTCATCAAAACAACACCATGCTCCAGATTGAGCTAAACCAGAAAAGAAACGACCCATCATTTTGTAATCTAAACCATCGGAACAATTGAAAACAACACATTGTTTTGCTACAGATTTAGCTAAATCTTTAGTTGTCTCCGTTTTACCAGTACCAGCTGGACCAGCGGGTGCACCGCCTAAATCTAATTGTAATGCACCCATTAAACATAAATAACATCTAAAACAAAATAAAAGAAATAAAAGAATTAAATTGCTGCCAACTGTGATGTACAGAATAATATCTATTTCACCTTAAGTTAAAACTCTTCAGTAGTATATAACCATAATGTATGCAATTACGGAATCTATAGCCTACTGGTCCCATTATGAGCAAAGTACCTTCCGACAATTAAAGCAGAGTTCAATGGTAAAGTGATTTTCCAAGTTGTTAAGCGATCATTTCATGTCATCAGTGAGATGGTGTTTTTTGCTTTCAGCATAATCATACTCCACCTATCATGGGCGATTTTTATGCTACATCCTGTTTCATCGAATACCTATCTGTATGTAGTTTCATATTTGGGTCTCGGTGAGATGTTTAATTCATCTTAATAAAATGTTGTTATAAACTTAACATAAATATAAATTACTTGATCACTACTTAAATAATATGTAATCTAGTTTAACAATTTCTCGTTACTTGTCATTCAACCATCGCTCCTTTAACAACTACATTGATAAGAAATCTTAGTTCACAGTAAAATCAGAGAATAACGAAACTCACAATGTCATTATATCAAGTATCATGAATCAGTAACTCATCGGTTTATGCTGATGATGTCGTTCAGAAGAACGATGAAAGCTCCACGATCAAACCATCCAGCTTAGAGGACAAAAATCCATCAAAATCATCTGCCTGAGCTACAAATCTTTTTCACTATCTCAGATCCTAATATATCAGGATAGGTTAATGAAAAAGAAGTTAGCTTAAATTTCATTCATTCTAACACTTCATGTCGAGTCGTTTATTCAAAGTAATTTGATCTTTAATAAATTCAGTGGTGTGGTAGATCTTATTACGTAACGAGGATTGTAGGATCAAATTTTAAGAAAGATATTTGATATCAAAAACGTTTAATTTACATTTTGATCAGAATGGGGTTTGTGGAGATTGTAGTGACTTTAATAGTTGAATTCATGAGCCAATTTAAGCTAGATCATCATTGAAAAACTGGAAGCAATGGGCGGCCGTTTCGTCTTAATATGGGACTCCTCAGCAGTGTGCATCCACGATCCTGCATGTTGGACTCGAACCCAGGACCTTCGGTCCCGCGCTTGAACACTTAACCTTTAAACCACTCAGCTGATATACAATAGTCTTAATGTCTAACTTCAATCGACCCATGAATTTACATTTGACATTATTGTTATTATCTTTGCATTCACTTGAGATGATGGTCTGTTTTTGATTTCCCCATGCATATCCATGAAGCCATATAGATTTGAGTCTAAACTCTGAATAAACATTCATTCAATTCTTCAAGGTTTTCAAAATTTCCCCTACTAACATTAATTCATAATAAGAATTGTATAATATATGTCTTTATCAAAAATAACCTTAGTTTAATACTTACCTATCAGTCAATGGAGTGATTACTAGACGAGGTGATGCACCTAAATATTCATAACCATAAATATAACATGCATTGGCCATTTTTACAACACATGTATCTAAATCTAAATCCCAATAATATCTAAGTTGACGTTGCCAATCAAAATTATCTAATGAATCAACTTTATTATTGACTAATTCTGTAACCATATCACGTGCATGTACATCAATTGTAATTAAAGCACATAGAAGTGAACGAAATAATTTTGGTAATTCTCCACGTACTAAAGTAGCAAGTTTGTTAAGTCCCTAAAATTTGAAAGAAAATGTTAATGATAAATAGTATTGTCAGTATAGAGTTGTGAAGATTATTCAATTTTTGACTGAGATCATGAACCGATTGATGTTAGACCATCATTGAGAACATGGAAGCACTAGATGGCCTATTGTGAGACTCCTCAGCAGTGTGCACTCACGATCCCACGAGGAGTCCCACAATAGGATGAAACGGCTGTCCAGTGCTCCTAGGTTTTCAATGGTGATCTGGCATCAATCGGCTCATGATCTCTATCAAATACTAATGTATATTAATAAGGTTGAATAAATTGATTCAGTTTTTATTCAGTTGATATGAGCTGACTAATTTACCGGAATAAAATCCTTCATCATAGAGTCAGTAATAACATCTATGATCTACTAGTTAGAACCTTTCAAGATTGCAAGCCTTCCTTGATTATTAATATTATATATTGTGGAAAAGACATCAACGAGAGCTTTCTAGCGGTTACTATCAATCACTTTACAAGTTAACGACACATACTAACTATCTAATACTTAACAAAACTGTTTTACAGTTGGTTAGTGATAATTTGGATAAACTGAATTCCACGAACCATACTATCCTTAAGCAATTCTCAAAGTTGTCAATCACAATATAGCTGGTTACTTATTGGTTGGTGCATGACAATGAACATTAAAAACTGACAAGATCATGTACAATTTTTCAGAATGATCTGTCTCAGAAGTACTAATCAGTTAAGGATAATTAGAAAACTGTTTGCTTGCCAATGAAGTAGTACTAAAATGATGATTTTTCTTGGTGGAAAGATTCCTAGTGTGAAAAACCTCACCAATTTATTTAAAATAACCTACTTACTGTATAGCATTTCGCTTCATATTCTTTTAAACCATCAAGACGATCTTCTGGGAGAGGATCTTCTAAGATTAACGTGATATCACGTGACCACATTAATTGTTCTACTGTTAAAACAATTTGATTTGCATGTGCTTTAAGCCATTCTTCACGATGTAAACTTTCAAAATCATTTATAGCAATTTTCATTAATTTACGAAGATTTGTAAACATTGCTTCTTCAACTTTACCTAACCAATCTTCAACATTACCTCTTGCTTTCAAACCCTTTAATAAAAGTGGAAAAATACAGAACATACTAAGACATAATAATGTGATTATGAATTATCTTGTGAGGCAGTGACTCACTGAAGACAATGTTGGACCTTGGCGCAATTTCATGAATTAGTTGAAGTTAGACATTAGCGTCGTTGGATACCGGCTCAGCGGTCTAGCGCACTAGACCTAAGGTCTTGGGTTCGAGTCCAGCATGCTGGACCATGGATGAGCACTGCTAAGCAGTTCCATGCTAGGACGAAACGCCGTCCACTGCTTCCAGGTTTCCCATGGCGGTCTACCTTTAATCGACTCAAGAATCCGACTATTAAATAATCTTACAGTTAGTAAACAGTAAATCTTGGACAGAAATATCAGACATGAAATAATTAGTAAAGCTCGTGTTTCTAACAGCTATAACAAAGTTACGATAAGTGAAAAACTACTAAAAACTAGGAATTTCCTTGGGAAAATTGAAGTTGGAAGTTAGAAAATCATTCAACGATAACATGAAATGCATAGAATTAAACTTTCATTCAACTTAAATAAAGTTGGTATTCTACCCTACGGGATTTAAACTCAGTAGGTGATTGATAACTTGCTTATGACAAGACTGACAAATTTTGGTCGCCCATGTGGTTATGAATATGTTATGCTAACAGATCTCAGACGACATCCATCCAATCCTCCTTGGTTTAAAATAATTGATCGGTTAATTGAGGTCTGGTATAAAAAATCCCTTGAATAAAATTATATATTTACTTTGAATACATTGGTGAAGATGAGGATTTATTGACTCCATTACAATTAATGTGGAAGAATGATAGTCTCTTCAACTTTATCCACTATCTCTAAACGTTTATCTCTAATTCAGTATAATAGACCGACTTAGTTAAATAGTTTTTTTAACACATTCTTTTCACTAAGTCATTTTATATAGAAACCTGAAAATGGATAGTGGCTAGCAGTGAAATTTAGGACGCGCGTTTCGTCCTATTTGGGACTCGTCAGTCGGATGTGCCTGCACCTCAGAGTCAACATTCACTCCGAGACTCGAACCCAGTATCGTTCGCCATTTTCCACTGCTAGCCACCATCAATTTTTGTTTAAAAAGCTTGTGACTTAAGGCAACAGAGATGCGATCCGCACAGGATGCATATATGACAATAAGACACTGATTAATCGCGAACCTAAACAACAATCGGATGATACAAGCAAATAACACCAAGTGAATCTATAGAGTTCTAGTTGACTCCAGTTTATAGTTGAGGAAATTCATTGGAATTCAGTAGAAATGCTACATACTGTGGTGTGTGGTGTAAAACTGCATTACTTCTATCAAACGATCTATAAAAAGTTGCTTGGTACTACTGTAGATAACTCATCTAGACAGTTATTTTTAACAGTAAATGTACAGACAATAATATTTTAGTTCACAGTAGTATACAAGTTGTAAATGTTGCTTTTAATCAGTTCCCAATCAAAATTTTTAGGATATGATATGATTTTTAAATCCACTTGGTATTGTTTGATTCAATCTTCTCATTGATGCTTAAGACTGCAATCGATCAGTCTCTTATTGGCATATGTGCATCCTGTGCGTCTTGCCTTGATATATTCTTAATTCACAAGCGTTCTAAGCAAAGATGAATAGCGGCTAGTAGTGGAATTCAGGTACACCCAGCTAACGAGCCCCACATAGGACGAAACTCGCGTCCTAGATTCTACTGTTAGCCACTATCCATCTTTGATATAATTTTTATATTATCTAAATGTAAATTTTTTAAATTTAATGTCATTAACTATAGAATATAGTTATGTAGCTAGAAAATGACATGTAACTCTGGTCTATTTGGTTTGTACATAAACTCCAGTATGTTTGAAATACATGATTTATATCGCAGGGGCTGAGATTGGCGTTCTGGACTTAATAGGTCAGGCTAGGTGGGTAGCAGGACCGATAAAAACTATAAACTGCTCGTACTTGTTTTATACGTCATTGGTTCGGTTGGTAATTCACTATTCTCTAATTGACAGTATCATTACGTTATACACTGAGAGGAGCATAAACCCACAAGTTATAACAACTCTAGTTTAGTGAATAATACTATAAATAGTATAATCGTCTACAATTTATAAAAGTCCAGCTTTTAATATCTCGCGATCGCAACAACAAATGCAGGAGAAAACGACCAGTGTAGCAGCAGCCTCAGCAGCAGTACGTCTCAACATACACAAAGGGAAAAGCAAGATTCTCACACACAACACAGCATGCACCAATTCAGTCACGATTGATGGAGAAGATTTGGAAGATGTAAAAACCTTTACATATTTGGGCAGCATCATTGATGAACAGGGTGGATCTGATGCAGATGTGAAGGCGCGGATCAGTAAAGAAAGAGCAGTATATTTACAACTGAAGAACATCTGGAAATCAAAACAACTGTCTCTCAATCAGCATCAAGGTCAGGATTTTCAATGCAAATGTCAAGACAGTGCTACTGTATGGGGCGGAAACCTGGAGAACTACGAAAACCATCATCCAGAACATAAAGGTGTTTATTAACAGTTGTCTAGGTAAAATACTAAAGATTCCCATTGTGAAAATTAGAACAACACATATAAGCGAACAATTGTTTTCAGTTAGATCGTCATCAGGCTTTACTCTAATATACATGAATATTTATACGAAAATTTTAAACCAATCAAGGCAATATGGGTCAATAATACTTCGGATCCGTTGGCCGGACACTGCTAGCAACAACCTACTGTGGGAGAGAACAAACCAGATCCCAACGGAGGAAGAAATCAGGAAGAATCGCTAGAAGTGGATAGGACACACATTGAGGAATGCACCCAACTGTATCACAAAACAAGCCCTCACATGGAATCCTGAGGGTCAAAGGAAAAGAGGAAGACCAAAAAGCACATTACTCCGGGAAATGGAGATAGAAATGAGTAAAATGAACAACAATTGGATAGAACTAGAAAAGAAGGCAGAGTGGTTTGGTGAATGCTGATCGGCGGCTTATGCTCCATTAGGAGTAATAGGCGTAAGTAAGTAAGTAAGATTTTATTATCTGATGAGCTTAAGTGTGAACATAGTTGATCAACTTAAAATAGATCTAAAAGAAAAATAAACGATTAAGTTATGATCAATCTTAAACATTGAATCAAATTATAGATTACCTTGCCGAGTGAGACACGTTCACCTTCAGGTGAAAGCATAGCCAATATATCATTGGTATAAACAGGTTCATCTAAAAAGGAAAAAACAGAATGGAACGATTATGATTTGGATAGAATGTTTTAGAAACACTAACTAGTTGGTTAAACTATGAAAAAGAAACATAAACAATCTTGAAAAGAATCAAGGTTTGAGATTATAATTTATAGGGATACTACCCCTTAAACTCAGGGTTTGAAAAGTCGGAAAGATAAAAAACTTTCTCTAATGCGATAAAAAATGATCTTGGTGGTCTAGTAATAGTATTGCGACACCAGATAATGGGTTTTAAGCGTTATTTAGACCCTAACGTTTTAGGCTGAGCTAATTCGTTTACTATCCTACATATGTGTTGTATACAATATAAGCTATAAGGCTATGTAGAGCTGAAGGTCTCATATGAGACTGGAGGTTTGCCATCGATATTGTGGATGGTTCCGCATTACTTTGGCAAGTTTTGCTGCCTGTCCATGCACAAAATTGGTTTGCTGGTTAACCGATTTCATTCACAGTGGTGGTTGCTTCTCAGTGTTCTCAAAGGTTATTGTCATTGGGACATTGTAAGGCATATCACCATTGCTAACATTAATGAGTTTGACTGTCGTGTAAGTGGAATAGGTGAACTTTGACCTGTTCGTACTGTGCATCATTGATTCACGCGAACATTGATCGGAATAACTATACATGTGACATGAATGTGTATATGAATGGTGCGAATGGTCCACCAGGATGCTTGGTACCTGTGTGGTTTCGCCACAGGATTGAGCTGTACTATTCAGATTGTAGTGTTAAAGTCTATATGGTGTGTGGTTCCTCTGTTAAACGAGATTGAGTTGTACTGTTTGGGTTGCCACATGGAAGTCTGAATGGTGTCTGGTTCTGCTGAAAACCAATGTAAAATTACTCAAGCCCACAAGGGTCTATTATATAACTATATTATATAACTATAACTTATGAATGACCTTTAAGTGACGCTAAATTGACCTTGAGAATGTCTACCTAGTAACTAGGACTAAATGAGGGTTATAAGACAGTGTGTGAGGAATTAGATTTATGGTTTTCATAACGAACTGACATTAGCTTAAATGCCGGAACGCTATTAAGCCAAATTAATGGACGAAATTAGCGCCCAAATTTGATTTTTTGTTCCGATATATGTGCATAATTTTCCTGATTGGTTGATAAATTGGATCGATATCAATGTGCTTGTTGATTGCTGATTGACCTGAGTGCCAGGCTTCTAAAAATTCTCTGGTGTTTTTGGAATTTCCTCTGTCCAGGATTTCCACATTTTCCCAATCGAATGAGTGTCCGCAGTTGTCCACGTGTATTGATATAAGTGAGAAAGTATCATGGCGTTTGACTGCTAATCGGTGTTCATGTAGGCGAAGGTGAAGGGGGCGTCCGCTTTGTCCAACGTAGTGTTTTTCGCAGTTGGCACAATTTATTTTGTAGATGATGTTTGATTTGTCTTCCTTTGTTATTTCATCCTTTGGTTTGCATAGGATTGATTGTAGTGATTTTGTTGGTTTGTGTGCCACACCTATCCCCAAGGTTTTCAGCAGTCTCTTTGCGCTTTCTGATATGCCTTTTATGTATGGTAGGATGATCCTTTTGTTGATTTCTCTGCTTGACTTAGGTTCTGATGCTGCATGCTGTTGGTATTTTTTGATGAAGTTGATCGGGTAGCCGTTTTTTAAAAATACGTCCTTCAGGTATTTCCCTTCCTTTAATCGTGCTGCCAGTGTGTCCTCGCCCTTTTGAACAAAGTGTGTACCCAGTTGATTTTATGAGCTCTTGGGTTGTTGCTATTGTAGTTGAGAATTCGATCTGTATGGGTTGGTTTCTTATACAATTGAGTTTCCAGTTTTCCTATTTCGGTTCTAGTGATTCAGTCTCGTGTGCTGTTACGGGTATGAGGGCTGATGTCACTTCCCGGCTGCCCACACCGTGGAGCGGTATTTGTTGAGGAACCTGAAAAGGATGTTGGATTATTGTTGGCCCTAACGACCTGGGAGCGTGACCGCAGAGCCCAAGAGACAACTGTATGAAGTCGGTCGCGCACGGCCTTTTCGTGGTAGGTTTTTGACGTGTTAGCTCCGTTCTTCAAAGGGCCTTACCGCCGGAGACGGAAATCTGTGAGGTAAGGTGAGGTGTGACATTTTTAGGGTCGACCTTTTCTAACCCCTTCCTTCTTTGTGAGAAGGTAGCATCGCTGTAGATGCTGATTGTCCGAGGGAAACACCTTACTGATATCACACCCCTCTATAGTCAGCAGTACGACTTCGCCCTCAGACCTTTAGTTGCTACTTTTAGTCTTACCGTTCTCCAATCGACCTGCCTGGCATAGTAGAACCTACAGGAATATATGTTCCAGCCAATATAGCTCGGTTGGGTCATCACGATAGGCAAGCCCGACCACCGCGTTAAGGTAGCAACAACGGTCGGGTTCTAGTGATTCATAATAATAACCCTGGTTATTTTAACAACAACAACAACAAAAAACAACAAGAAAATCAAAATCAAACTAATATGATTACCTTTATTCATAGAATCTGATGTTATACCAAATTCTAATTTCATAATAGCATCAAAACATTTTCTTAAATGTGGTTGTACAGCTAATGGATTACGGGTTTGTGCTAAAATTTCTAATAATTCATCATTAGATAAAAAATAAAAACGTGGAAATATGGAACGTTTTGATTCTAAATAAGCTTCAAGACATTTTTGTATTTGATCTAATAATTGATTATTATTACGTAATGTATCATATAAACCAGGTTGTGTTGCAGCACGTATAGCTAATGGAACTTTTTGTATTTTACGCATTATATCTTTATAGGATTTATCAACAGACATAAAACTTTTTGATTCACTAGGTAATTGACGTTGAATATCTGGTGCAGAAAATATACTTTCTAAATATAACCAACTTCGTTGACATTTCATCCATTCATCCTTGAAGTAAAAGAAAAATTTTTAAAGAAATCAATAAAGTTGTAAATATTACGGAGTTATAAATTCATCTAAGACAACCATCAAGTCAGTAGCAGGCACTCATGACTCAAAGTCAGGGGGAATGAGGGAGGTTGATTATGAATGCAGTAGTCTTGAGTGCTGTTAGAAGAGGTATGAGGGTGGTTGTTTCTTCCCGGTTGCATATACTGTGAAAGGGTTTTTCTGGAGGTACCTCTTAGTGATTTGAGAGCGTGACCGCAGTGTCCAAGGGACAACTGATTGAGGTCAGTCACAAAAGACCTTGTTGTGAGTAATTTTTGTGTTAGCTCCGTACTTGTTGAAACCTTACCGCTGGAGACGGATATCCGTGGGATAAGGTGAGGTGTGCATTTTTAGAGACGACCCATTCTAACCTCACCCCTCCTTGTGGGAAGGTAGCATCTCTGTTATACTGGCTGTCTGAAGGAGACACCTTACCGCTGTCACACCTCTGTATAGTCAGCAATACGACTTCACCTTCGGACCTTGGATTTGTTGCTTTTAGTCTTACCGCTCTTCAACCGACCTGTGTGACATGGTAGGACCTTGAGGAACGATTGTTCCAGCCAGTATAGCTCGGTTGCTTCGTCACGATAGGAAAACCCGACCACCACGTCAAGGTAGCAACAACGGCCAGGACTGGAGATAGTACCCAGGACCTTAAGTATTGCATGTAAATACTTAACCTCTATAACACTGAGAAGGGTTGTGCAATATCATGGATCAGATATAGTTAGGCTAGTACATCATCGGATTTTAGTTTAGCTGTCTATTGGTTTAGACGTTTACACACGAGATCTAAGGTGCTGGGCTTTATTCCTGGTTGTGGGATTGTTGATGTATACTGTTGAGTAGCCTTGTACTAGGACAAAACGACCATCCATTTTTATCAGGTTTTTGATGGTCAGTTCGTAATCTCAAAAAAAAATCACTTAATAAAACATGTACAATATGCTAGACTGTAACACTGATTATTTTTTATTCTAGAAAAAAATTATTGAACGTAATTCTTTATAGTTAACGTTTTCAGTGATACAAATAAACTATCATGCAAAGCGCAGATATGATTACATAATCAAGATCTTCATTTGTTAGATTCTTATCAATTATTATTGGGTTTCAGTGTCACTACTGTGAAACATCACTTAATCCTACTATGAAAGCAAATAACTTAGCATGCTGACGTATATGGTAGGTAAATGCTGGAAATATACTTTCTGAATGTTTTAGAAGATACATGTGATGAAGTTTATTTCTCGAAGTTTCCTTACAAACGAATTCAATAAATTGACAGTCCTCGTGATCAGTGTAACTTCTGATGCAGACTACTTGGTTGAGGGCCGCCAGTGACTATCTTAACCAATGGTTGGAGACTCTGGGTGACATGGCTCATAATCCATCACAATGGCTTAGGTGTATACACTTTCTGTCTTCCCTTAAACTATGAGATTCAAATTATTTCATATCTTTCTTTCTACGAATGAATTCTTTCTTTCTGTACTATATCCTTACATAAAACCTTCTCTGTATATATTACACCATTGATTAACTGCTTCTATGAATTTGGTGTTTGTTTTGCTGTGCTAATGAGTAGTGGCAACTTGGACTGATGCATGTATGTGCCTGGTCCTACGTTGACTGACTGAGTACATCAACCAACCAATCACAATTTAGATAACCATTGAAAACTAAGAAGTATTAAATATCCGTTTTGTTTTAGTATAGAACTTCTCAGTAGTGGGCATTCATGATCCAGGCAGAAGCCAAATTCAAGACCTTTGGGAATCGCGGCAATCATTCAACTTTAAGATCATGGAGTTGGTATCTGATTGTTTATATTTCGAACTTTGCTTAATTCATAATATTTCACTACTGTCAACCATTGTCATTGATGGCATCTATCTCACTCCTAACTTACTTGAATTCCTCTGATCACAACTTCTCACTAGAATTCCGGGAGTGACCTCTCAAGTTACTCCTATCACATATAAATACTGAAGAAACACCAGAGAGCGTCATCGAAACTTAACCTAGCAATCTTGTTCTTTTCTGCTTATACCCTAGAAGAAATACTCTATTCTATTCTACTCTACTCGTTAATATACTATTTTTAATTGATAATCAATTCAATGTCTACGGAATAATCGAGTCCTACGACTTATAGCCTGATTCTGTTGTATCAAAATTCATTTTGTACATAACACTTTTCATCAATAAGTAAATACGAATTTGAATTACCAAGGTTCTTCCAAATAATTCTAATAAAGTTTGCCATTCATCAACACGATGTTTTATTGGACCAACATGACGTGATGAAGCAATTGTTGATATATTAATATTAGAATCATCCCATAATTGTTGTATTTCATCAGTTCCACCAATAATAAAAACATCTTTACTATCTTTGTATGGTAGAACAATGAATTCAGTTGATTTCCATGATTCTTCAACCTTGAATAAATTGAATGAATGAAACAAGTGGGCAACACATCAGGATGACGTGATCAAATCACGGAAAGGAATAACAAGAGTAGATCAGTTAGTAGTAATACTAGTGATAGTAATAAGATGAAACAAAGGATATATGATTAGAAACGATAAGAACAAATTCTTACTAGATGGCTTTTAACACCACTGATGTTAATATCAAACCGAATATAGAAAATGTGATCATCTCGGAAATTATTTTACGGATTATTGTCGTATGTACTGGATTATCATCTTTCTAAACTCCCCTAATTGTAAGCTTTTACTCTCTATCACTCATGGCTTGATTATTTATAAGGTAAAACTCCTTATTTGAAGTTTTTTACCGTCTGATTATTCATTATTTCTCTAAACATAACAATTAGTGGTCTTGAGTGCTGCTAGAGGTATGAGGGTGGTCATCACTTCCCGGTTGCCCACACCATGGAAGGGTTTTTCTGGAGGTGCCTGAGAATGAAATTGGGTTAGAGGTGGTCTTAGTGACCTGAGACCGTGACCGCAGTGCCCAAGGGACAACTGATTGAGGCCAGTCACACACGACCTTTTTATGAGTAATTTTTGTGTTAGCTCCGTACTTGTTGAGACCCTACCGCCGGAGACGGATATATCCGTGGGATAAGGTGAGGTGTGCATTTTTAGGGTCGACCCATTCTAACCCCACCCCTCCTTGTGGGAAGGCAGCATCGCTGTTTTCTCTTACTGAACTCAACGGGCGCGGGGGAATTAGAACTTGAATCTAGGTAAAGAAGTCTTACGATTACCCTATGACTGTTGAAGATCAGTCGCTGTCGATTAAATTGCATAAATTGTTTAAACTTAAGACGATGGTCTATAAGCGAAGAAGTATACTCAAAGTAGAAATTATAATTCGGAATCTGGATGGCAGACGTAGTAAATGAATTATTCAATCAAGGCTTATGGAATATGTGCCTAAATGGTTTCAAATTCAGTTCGTGTCAAATATTCAGATAAAAGTGGGAAGTAGAAAATCATATTCATCGATATTAAAGCATATAACTGATATGGGGCACAGAAATGACCATAATACAGCTTTTAAAACGTTGTATAGAAATTGTTAAGGATGAATTCTTAAGTTAGCAGAAGCCCTGGCTATTCTCAAATTCAAATTGTCCTATGTATCGTAGCCTTGAATTTGCCTTGGTAATCCTTAAATCATTTTATGACCTTGGGTTAATGTGATAATTTCCTATTCTTTCTATATGATGTTAATTCTATCTCCTTTATTTACAATTATCAACTTTGTTCACTTGAACCCTTATTAGTTTTCATATAAAATGACTTTCTAGTTATCTTTAAGCTTTTCAAACGTTTATGATTTTCATTTTGTATTGTTTGTTTGAATATTCCCATTGATGTTTGAGACTGCAGCTGATCGATCTCGGTTAGAACATCAACTATAGGATGTACGTGTAGTAAACGAGAAGACAAGTGGGGGACAATCGAATGTATTTGAACACGAAATAACGGAATGTCTTAGTAAATCTCAGACTTCATTGTTCCTTCATTTCCACAGTAGTCATTCTTTATTCTCGTTCTCTTTTCTTTGATCTTCTTCACCTTCTGCCTCTAGGCATTTCACTTTCGATTGACGATACACACTGCTTATATCTGTCGACATCGGTAGAGCATCACACTCGTCCCTCCTTTAGAGCAGTCGTTCTTGCAGTGGTTCTACTCACCGTGCCACTTTCTTCTTCTCAGCAGTCTGTGCCATACTCTCTGTCAAAATGTCGAGTCTGTGGCGCGCCGACCTTCATAGCTCCATCAACCCATCTAGCCACCTAAATCCGATGTACATCTGGCACCCGGGACGTTCAACTCCTGCGCTCCGGTGACATGTTGAGCCATCTACATCCAACGTTCGCCCACCAGGAGCACGTTAAACCGCTCCTCTCCGTCGAAAGCACGCGCTCCGTCAATGCCATCCCGCCAGAACACTCCACTCGACATCACCTGCCCCGACTAGCACCTCAGCGCCAGATCCTCAACAGTGTCCGCAGGTTCAGGTACATCCAACTGACGAGTCCCAAAGTAGGATGAAACCTGCATTCTAGATTTCACTGCTAGCCAACACTCATCTTTGATTATATTGTTTATGACTTTTTTTAGATGAATGTAACCAACTCTATTAATGACACCATATTTCACATCAAATAATCCTATAACTTAATTTGGGTTTATAATTTAGTCATCGGTCTATTTCTGATATGATTGATGAAGTATCAAAATCATTTTTAATATTGATGATTATTTCAATAATCCATAAACACATATTTATACTTACCTTTTTAAGCAACATTTCCAAACTTGATTCAGAACTAGCTTGACCTGAGATTTCTTGAATTTGTTCAGCTTTATTAAAAGCTTTCAATTCATTTAAATAGCCTAAACTTAATGGTGTTTCCAATGCAGACATTTGAAAACCGATTAATTCTTCTAACATTTTCCAATGA